GACCATGATGGTCCCAGGTCAAGCAAAACAAAATGGTTTGGATTTGTCTACCTTATGGAATGGCTTTCTGTGGCTTTTTTGTCTCATGTTTTTGATACATTAAAAATGTCCCCTGTGCGAGCTGCAAAATACTGGCCCGTAGCATCTGCCTCCAACTTTGCACCTTGCGCCCCCCTTTGTTTGCCTCTATGTTGCAAAAAGAGGGACCCAATTTAATATGCATCCATCTTTTCCCATTGTTTTATATTCAACCACGCGCTTTCTTTGTTTACCCCTCTCTTGCTCATTTTTTGTCAGCCATTGACATTGCTGACACCGAGTGAGAAAAAACAACTGCCCATCCGACTCCCCCTCCTAGTTTTTACAGGTGGCCGCCAACCATTGTTTGATGAAACACGGATATCAACGCCCTCTATTTGTGAAGCCTGTGGAGGCAGAAATGGCTGCAGTTTGCTCGATGTTTCGGATGAAACCTTCTTTTTTATCCATTGTTTGTTTTGGCTTTTTTATGTGCATGTATCCCAATGTGCAAATGAACCTTTTAGCTGCCACGATTGATGCGGATCCACCAGAAAAAAGAATAATTTATTAGCCAACACATAAATAAATTATGCCATTACCCACCTTCCTTACTCGCACTGCTACCACTGACAAAACAAAGAAAGCATATTGCCGCTGCTACTTTGTTATATTCCAGCCCAGCCTAAACGTGAGCCTGGCAATTTTTTTTTTACAAAAAGCCACAATTATTTTTGGCTGAAAAACCTATCCTGACTGATATCAACTTTTTCTGTACACACATGGTCTGCCCGCCAGCAACCGTGGTTTAAAAAAATCATTGTAAAAGTGACCGCTGATCAATATGTGCATATTTTGAAATAGTATACCGGATATTCGGATATTGCCGATCTTCGAACAATAACATGCATGAAAAAGGCATGCTTTCGCCAAAAAAGAGGGAATATACATGCAACGAGAAAGCCCTCTTGAAACTTGCACTCCGCTCCAGCTGAACCTGAAAGAGACGACCCAAGAGTACACATTATTTTTTTTGTGAGTAGCAAAAAGAAGCTCGCTTTTATTTTGCACAGCTCAGCACAGCGTAAAACAAAAAAATGGCAGAAAAATAAATACTAGGTATCTCCCGCCCTGCTCCTTCCACCATCTTTCATCCTTGTTTTTTTCCCTCCAACATCTCAAGCAAAGCTTTCTCCAACACCACCTATGCACATCTCTCTCCAACACCACCACCAACGCCATCACATTGATATTTTGTATTGTTTTTTGTAAAACCAACGCGCCGTCCTTCTTGCTTTTTTATCTTTATTCCCCGAGTGATATTTTATATTTCTGCATTTATAGCTTTTAGCATATTACCTTCACATATCCATTTTTAATTTTTAATTTGTCCATTTCTTATTCTTTAGTCCCTCCTGCATCTTTTTTTATTATTCCAACTTTTTTGAGATGACTTCTATCCGTGCAGTTTGCGCTTCTATGTGTGCAACCATTGTCACACACTGTGGCCAAGATTACACGGGCATCGTCGACACTGACGCCAAAATTTTCGAGACCACCGAGGCTGCCGAGACGTTCGAGAGCGCTGTCGCCCTGTTGCATAGAAGGCACATGCGCTACAGCCTCTACCAAGCTCCTTCCGACGCCAAACCGGGTCTTCTCGGAATGCAGGCCGCACAATTGAGCGCCGAAAACAAGCTGCTGGACAGCCAGGCGTTTGAAATTGCAGCTGCCCATTCTGCAACCACGTCTGTCCTCACCAAAACTAACTGCGCATTTTTTAAGCTGAGGTTTGACCATGCAATCCAATCTACCAGCCGTCCCGTGACCGAGGCTAAGCTCGCGGAAATGGAGCACAAAAATGCGGCTCTTCACGCAACAATTTGCAATCTTCAACACGGGCATGCTGAATCAAGGGCTGCTTGCGCTCAGGAGACAAAGGCCCGATTTTCAGCCGAGACCGCTCGTGCAGAGGCGGAGACTGCTTGTACAAAGACGGAGAGCAAAACTGCAACTCTGCGCGCCAGAGCCAACGCCCGCTAGGGCAGCCTCGTCAGCGCGGAGGCTTTTCTCATTGAGGCACTTGAGCTTGCAGACGCTGCGGCTGAAAGAGCCCTTGTCTGCGAGAGCGCTCACTTGGCGGCTATCTTTGCTCTAAAAGTAGAGTCCACCGCATGCGCTGTGGCCGAGTCCAAGCTCACTGAGGCTTTTGATTTTGTGGAATCATCCTGCGCGCGGTTCGATTTTATTTGCGCCGAGGTCGGCGTCCAACGTGGTAAGGTTGGCATGGCGCACGCCAAGATAAACAATCTGCAAGCCCAGGTTGACAAAGCAATTACTAAAAAGCAGTATGCCCGCGACCAGCTCACCATGTCCATAGCCACTCATGGTCTTATGCAGTGCAGACTTAGGACATTATATGCCAAAAATTCTACCGCACACTGCAAGCTCGACTCTGCCTACGACCTTGCAGTTTCTATGGGCAATCAGCTCAGCTGGACCCGCGCTAAGGTACGTGCCCCCCTTCAACCCAAGGTTGCCCAAGCCGAGTCGATAGCTGCTGACAAGCCCCCTGGGACGGCGAATGCGAATGTGGCCCTCACCAGCGACACTTCCACCGAAACCGAGACCGAGGTTGAGGCCGAGGTCGAGCTTTCCAGTGCCAATTTTTTGCGGAAGGAGTTTAAGCTCAACAGTGCTGAAGGCATAATTGCTTTGGCAAAGGCCAACAACAGACTCAGGGTTTCAGCAGACAAATCGTATCGGCTTATGGAAGAACGTGACGAGGCATTGGACACTGTCGATGATTTGTGCGATAAAATTAATGATTTACGCGATGAATTGGATGATCTGTATTGCGCCCGCGCTTCAGCGAATATCGAGGCTAACCGCAGGTTCAACAAGATGAAGGCCCTGCGTGAAAAGACACAGTCCCTCCTAGCTGAACACCGCACTTCTGGTCGGAGATCGGATGGCAATAGTGCATAATTGTGCCAATTCCGCCGACACTGCCAGCAAAAGTTCGACAAAGCGACGGCACAAATATACATAACACAAAGGCCGCTGCTGACCATCAACAATGATAGGCAAAACACTTCCCAAGTTTCATTGATGGCGGCGCAAGTACTTGGGCATTGGAGCTGTACCGGGTCCTATGCCAAGTCCGAATCAACCCTCACTTTTGTAAGCCACATCACTGTCTTTTTTATCCCTTTTCTTTCTTACCACCAAAATAAAATATATGAAAAAAATGAATACTTCTGGAATGAAAATACACGCAAGCAAAAAAATTTAAACAAGACTAAAAAGCACGCAGCGCACTCTCGCGTTACCAACAGTATGTCGTTATAGTTTATGCCGCAATACGGTGCGTAATAGGGTAGGCGCAGCTGAGTGGTAAAAAAAACGCTCTTGGTAAAACGACGTAAGTTTGGATCTCTATTCTGGGCCATTTATGTTTGCTATCATTTTTGTCTGTCAAACGATTCAAAGCCAAAGAAGTATCTCTTTTCATTTCTAATGCTAAAATAATATTCATTACACTTTATAATTGCTATACATTGAACCCTCTTTTTTGTAAATAACACTTCCCCAATCATGTCCAGCTCCTCATTCTTTGACGCCATTATCGCCCAGCTGTCGCAGCTTTCTGCGCTGTGCGCATGCAACCCAGACATCAGGGCCCCAAGGAAATTCGGTACCCGCCAGCCAATTACAACAACATCAAGGTACATTTCAACACAGCACATTTGCACAATTTGAACACCAACACATTCTTTCAAAACCAAAAACATCATAAGATAATACACTGACTGGGTAAAATAAATCAATGATACCACCAAATAGATTCTGTCCATCCAGCCGGCCGTCGCATCAGCCAGAGTTTGCAAGGACAACTTGTCGCTGAACGTCCACACGCCCAAGGTGTCTGTAAGCAAATTCGCGCTGGAAAACACTGTCCATTCGCATTGTTTTGCAAGTGAAGAAACATCCTTTTGCGCCTCTCTAATATTCCTGCAAACAGCATGCAACTGGTCCTCAACGGCAAGGGGCTGGTGGACTCCAAGATAATGGCCAACTGCGCAATCCAAGACAGCTCTGTCATTTAAATCATTAGCAAGCCTGTATGATTCAGTAGCCGTGACTTGCCGGTGGGGACTGGGGATGTTGAAAGCAATCCACTTTCAAGCGCTCTGAAGCAGCAAGTGGAGACGGAGTCGGGTGATACATTGGATGTTGACGTGAAGTGTCGGCAGAAGTCCATGACGGATGCACCAATTGAAAATGACACCAAGCAGGCTATCAGTCAAAGCACCAAGGAGCAGCTGGAGCAGATGGACAACCCATTCAGAATCGCTTTGCGCAAGCTAGTCTGCGGCAAGTTAGACAGCAGCCAGGCGGCAGCCGTAGACCGTGCATACGAGGAGTTCCTGTTCAAGCTTTAAAGAGAATTTATTTTAAATTTATTTTTCTTTTTTATTAACATCTTAATGAATAAGTTTTAGAATTTAGGATTATATAAAATAAAGTAGTAAAACACTATTAAAATTGCGGCAGAGCATGAGCGCAAGAAGGGCCATCCGCACAAACATTCCATGCTGCATCTGGTGGAAGTATGCAGCGCGCTGGTCAATGTCAACCTTGGAAGCAATTTCAGAAGCGCGAGAAAGTGGGTGCATGACAATCATGTTGCGTCTGCACTTGCGCATCGGGTTGTTGTCGATAGTGTAGGCGTTATTGGTCTGCTCTTACTCCTCGAGAAAATCGAAGTGCTCCTTCTGCATGCAAGCGGTGTACAAAACATCGGTGTTGGCCAGCACATCGTCGGTGAGTGTGATGAGCTTGTTTTGCATGACACAGGGTGCGTGCAGGTCAACGTCGCCCTTGATGGACTTGGACTATGTGTCACCGCCATCCCTGATCATGCCCAAGGTGAAGTTTTTGTACTGGGCGAGCACGCAGGCCAGCGAGTGCATGGTGCAGCCGTTGCGCAGGTCACTGGCCAGGGTAATGGTCAGACTGCTAACTGTGCCCATCACCTCGCGGATTGTAAAGCCATTGAGCATGGCCTGCAACAGGTGCTCACCAATCCCGTCACCAGTGTTGATGACGGGCACACTGTACATGCATGAAGTGCCCACAACGGAGCCAGGCTGCAGGTGGCACAGAAAAATGATATTGGCGTACAAAGCAAAGGTGTACACAGTGTACTTGAGGGTTTAGCCTTTGGAAACCAATGACATTTTGCTACTCGCAGCAAACACCTGGCTGCCCAGGCGCAGCATGGCAGTCTGGAACAATGACGATATGTGCGACGAGGGCTCATAGAATATGGTAGCCATAAAGCGTCCGGCCAGCAGGGGCAGGCAGCGCCCCGGCTGCATGATGGGGTGCATCTCCTGGGCAATGGCAAAGAAAAAGCGGTCTTCGTGCAAGAACTGGCGGACGTTCAGCTCATTCTTCACATAGAAGGGACTCTTGCCATTGTGGGGGGAAAGAATTTCGGCCAGTCTGTTGGTCTGGATGGCAGCAGGGCAACCAATACAAAATCGCGTGCAACTAGCAGTGCTAAAGCAGGAACGGCGGCTGCAGTACTGACACGCGTCTTGGGAGTGCCCTCGGCCTCAACTGCAGTCTCGACTTCAACAGCAGTGGTCTCTATAGTCTTGAGCTTTGGAGCAGTGACACTCTGGAATCTGGGGCCCGAGCTGACTGGGCACAGGACATGCCATATATGCACATTCTGGGTTGCAATATACCCTCAACAACAATATGACCACTGGCTACGACACCAGCTCCACCGACATTGACATTAAAGCTGTGTTCACAGAGCTCAAATTTACCGGTCCTGATTGATACCCGTTGCCATGCTCGTCTCATCTGTGCGAAGTTACCGCCGACCTTGTTTTTTGAGAGAGTAGGCTTGTATTCAGTCTTGGAAGCGAGAGCTCGGTCAAGTATACCAAAATCTTAAAAGGCCAGGTTTTCAGGCCAAGGTAAATACTTGCTGTGCAGATCGTAGTGACTATCTTAACAAATAAATAGTAAAAGAGGAATGGTCAAATAATAAGGTATCGTTCAAAATCTATTGAATTTAAAACATCTAAATAAAAAAGTTAATTGCTGGAACTAAAGTATCAGACGAGAAGCGTCGTAAGAGAAAAGTCAAACTGTGCATGGTTCATAAAGTGGGCATAGCAGAGTGAAGAAAACGGTGAGAAGTAAAAAAGCGAATTTGAATTCAAAAAAATAGGACTAATCAAAATTTTATAGAATAGGCAGCGTAACCCAATCCTTTTACAAATATGTATCAGCAGCATTAACCGTGTGACGTCATATTTTTTCTGTTATATTCTGAGTTTGAATCCTGACCATCAGATTTCTTAATTTTATTTGCTGATTTCCAAAAAAGGGAGCAGAAAACAATATATTTCCGATCAGCGCACGTGGATATAATGTAATTGGGGCCTTGGCTATAAAATAAATACTGATTTGCATTTCCTGCATGTACTGATCAGCGCAAATAGTACCCGTCACCATGCCTGCTTGCGAGTGTTGAATTACCAATGGTTCCGATTAGGGCGCAGGCCACCAAGTGTTCCTCAGAATTGCTCTAACTTCGCAGAAAGCTTACAACCAGGCCACCTGTTTCTGGTTCCGGTACAATGGCTATAGCTACTCATCGCGGGTCGTCTAACTTTTTTCATGCGCTTCTGATTTGATTGCGAGGCTTGTGCAAGGACTCGATTAAAAAAACACAAAACAATAGAGCCAAAAAAGTGTTTTTTGGAACTTTGGAAAATATGAATTCTGTGGTGTCCAATACACATTTCAAGCCACTATCTTCCCTTTTCAAGAATCAAGATCGTCCTCATGGCCGCTATACACATTTCTGTTATTGCTAACTGACATCAAGGAACACCATGATGTTCACAGCGCTGCCCACACAGCGCTGCCCCCTTTTTCAGTTTCTTAAGTAATTTTTAAGACTTGAATATATTAACTTAGACCCACATTTTTATAGAGCACGACAAATTCCAAATTCAACTTTTTTGAATTAGCAAGGTCAAGCGACAAAAAAAGAAAACAAGCACTAATTTGCGTGACAAAAGTAAAAGAAACACTAGACTAAGCAAGCAAGCAAGCGCTGGTTTGGCAACGCTTGTTTACATGCAATGAGACTGCTAGCAACCGCCTGTTTCGAAAAATAATTTGTCTGTGGGACTTTTCTTTGCCTCTTTTTTGCCAAATAAGATACATTCAGCATTCGAGCCCCGAATACTCATCCGCATTGGTTTGAGACCAACTGTACAATTTGAGCTATTCTGTCTTGGTACCGTTAAGATGAGCTAATTAGGCCAATAGCTACCTTTTTCTTGCTGTTCCTGATAAGGAGGGTGTCAGCAAACCAATTTTTCATTGTGCTTTTATTCTTTTTCTTCTGTCGAATGTGGAGGAAAAAGGCGTCAAATAATCAAAACACCGATTATTTTTTAACCCCTCATCTTGTTCGGTGCATTGTCTATTTTCCGCACAACAATAACTGAATTGTTTTTTGTTTCATCCTTTCTCCTCATCATAAACAAAAAAGTTGACAATCTTTTTGTTTTCCCCCTCGTTTATTCAGCGCGTACGTAAAAAACAGAAAGGGATGGAAGAAGAGAAACAAATCAAAAATAGCGATAATATTTTAACCAAGCAGATGGTGAATTATTTACACGACAGTCTTTTTTCTGGCGTAGCAAAAACTCGATTGGAATTCATGCGAAGAAAAGTAAACAAAGGAAAAGGGCCCTGTTTGACTGTGCTCCCCCGCACAGTCACCACCACGAATATAGATGTCAACATCAGCATCTATTACTGCTACTGAAACTACTGCTGCTGCTGGGCCCTGCTTGGGGTAGTGCAGCCGACATACTGGAAAATCAGTCATCTTGATAGTAAATAGGCATCTTTCATCTTTATCCGAGTTTTAATAAATTCGGATGTTATTTTAGCTGCTTTATCGATTTCCCCTTTTATCACGACGCGTATCTACAGTGATTGGCAATCCATACGCACGCATGCAATGTCATCCACATTCGGGCAAAGGATATGCAAAAAAATACAAACATGATGCGTTCTTCATCGTTTTGTTGTTACAAATAATAAAGGACGCAAGCTCATAAAATTCACGTGGCATGATTGGTTGATATCAAGCAAAGGATATGACCATTTTCAATTTTTTAAAAAAGTTGAAAATATAGATTTGGATTTGGCCAATCAAATTTCTTGTTAGATGGCAAACACACGCTTCTCGGTTTTTCATTTCGTTCTCAAACGCGCAGCTCGATTTTCAATGCTGAATTTTTTCAAATTGCAGAGAACAGAAAAAAGAGCGACAAAAATATTGCCGCCAAACCGAAAAAATAGAAAAACAGATATTTCCCGCCCCTTCCACCGTCTCTCACCCTTGTTTTCCCCTTCAACACCACTAGTTAACTTCTCTTCAACACCACCCACACATAATTTCATCCACCAACACTACCAACATCATCAACACTGCCAATATCACTAACACTACCTTAGTACTTTATCTTATTTTATTGTTTATCTTTTTTAACCATGCCTTCGCGTATGAATGTCTTTGCGCGCGAGTTGCGCTCAATTCTGCGCATATCAGCCAACCCTGCCACCGCTACTCCTGCCTCCGCTGCAACTGCTTCCACCACATTGACTGCTACCACCACCGCATTGACTGTGCCGCGCAAGGCCAACGTGCTTCGTCGCGCTTTTTGTACCGTTTTCAAGACCAAGCTTGAGGCCAACTCTGGTATCGACAACGCTGCTGGAATTATTTACCAGCTGCAGTGTGCCCTTGATGAAGAACGCGCTGCTCGTTATGTGGCCGAGGCTAGATTGGAAGGGACTGAAGACGCGCTTTGTGAGCTGGAGATTGAATATTTCAACGAATACACCGCCCGTTATGTGGCCGACACTAACCGTGCGAATGCCGAGAGCAAGAATGCTGTGCTGAGTGCTGGAATAGACGCGTTCCAAGCTAATCTCGCCGAGTTGGAGGCTGCTCGCGCCCAGGAAGCAGGGATCCGTAGCGCGGCCGAGTTTGCTTGCAACAGCATTGGCACTGCATTTTCCAAGCTGGAGTCTGCCCTTGAGGTCGCCAAGGCTGCACAGGCCGAGCTGGCCGCATCTTGCGCTCAGGAATCATTGGGCCGCATTATGGCCGAATTCGAGCTCATGACATTGCGCGCTCAAGTGGCACCTCTGCAGCATCAACTTGCCAAAGCCTGCAATCAAGCCAACACTGCTCACAATAAGCTTGGAGTGTTGCACGCTGAAGCGAAAGTGCTGCGCCATGAGCTTGACAAGACTAGCACCAAAGCCGAAAATGCTCACAATGAGCTTGAGGACTTGCGCGCTGAAGTAGCCAAGCTGCGCTGCGAGTCTCGCGCTAGCATTACCACCAAGCACAACGAGGCTTTCCTTATGTATGGGCTGGCAGATTCGGCTATCTATAAAAACGATTATTATAGCGAGAAGGCTGCAGATTACGGCTTGGAAATTGATATGGTGGGCGCTAGGATGGACTCTCTTCGCCGAAAAATAAGCGAGCGCAAGGCTCAACTGGACAGTGCCGACGATGTTCACTCTGTGTCGATTGCAGAGTTGGGAGCTGAGTGCGGCGCGCTGGCAATGCGCTCCAAAATTCTTTTCAAGCTTGACAATACAAAACCTGCCAAAAAGCGGCGCGTGCTTTTGAACATATAAAATGCACCAGATCTCAGCCGCGGTCATTTGATTGATCCGCAAAATTCACTTTATTTTTCATTATCATTATCATTTTTCATCATTTTTCATTTTTACCTTAAAATTATAATATCCAAAAAATAAATAAAAAATATTACTGGACATAAAACAAACGCAAGCAAATAATACAACAAAACCAAAAGCACGCAGCGTACTCTCATATTAACAGTATTTTGTTTTAATTAATGCCGCAATACAACGCGTAACAAAGATAAACTTAGCGGCCAAAAACAACATTGGTTTAATTTAACCGTTTGCCCCTATTTTGTTTATGTCACTTTACTAGCATTTTGGTTGTTAATTGGTTAAAAGAAAAACGTTATAATTTATTGGCATTAATTTAAGAGTACACGAGCGTAAATGTATGCGTACATGCTGCAAAATGGGTTTGATTTTAAAGCCAAAGCTAACTACGCATGACGATGTGTATGCTAAACCATAGCACTGAGGAAATCAAATAGTAGAGGCATTGCCAGGAATCAATGTCCTGGTTTTTTTCTCTTTGGAAGAAATAAGTTTTCATAATTTAAATTAAATCTATAATGCTGAATTTAAACAGAAATAATTTTTACTTTATATTTGAGTTGAATTATGA